TCATGTTATATTTAATTTCGTAATCTTATGCACCAACATATATGAGTTTAAACACATTCACACAAACATTCACGAAAATACAGAAATACAATAAAGCAAAAGCATACACAAAGAGAACTCATGCACACCCACCCACACACGCACACACACAAACTCATACACACACACACACACACACACACACACATAAACTCTTACACACACATACATTCACATACACACACACACATACGCGCACACTTACACAAACTCACACACAGACAAGCAAACACACACACAAACAAACAAACACACACACAAACAAACAAACACACACATCCACTTATACACCATTTATATTGGTATTGTTTGTCTTCTCGCCAGTGTCCTTGCGGGTGTACACTAATTATCCGTCCCTTTCTAATTACTGGCCATCCTTGTATAATATTTGATTTCTTTGTAATAATAATCACTATTTGATAACTATCCTTCCCTGTATGACATTCATCTATTTCTGTGTAATGAATGTTCATTTTTTATGATGATTATCCAATATTATATGATAATTATCAATTTCTGCATGATGATTATCCAGCAGTGTATCGTAATCTATCGTCTTCTATAATGACTGTCCATTCCTGTATAATGATAATCATCCTTTTCTATATCCATTCATGTAACAATTGTCCATCTTTGAATATTTTTTATTTATCTATTTATTTTTTAGAATTTTGATATCACGTTAGAGTAGAAAAGGAACAGAAGGGAGAGATACACAGATATATATACTGATAGATAGAAAGATGGGAGAAAAAAAATAGATGGATAGATATATAGATAGATGGATAAAAAATAGATGGATTTGTATTTGTGTGTAGACGTGTTTACATTCATACTCGTATATGTGTAATGCAGTTAATTAGTTCTTTAAATGTATCTCATATGTTAAAAATGAATATCGCGAATCAAATATAACGAATTTGCAGAGTTGGTATAGTAAAAGTGAAACTAATTTAATCTAGCGACTTTATGAAAACAGAAGATATTACACATTTTATAATATATTTCATGTTATTTTGTATTTGCTCGTCAATAATTCTTCATTGTAATATTAGGATAAAAGGAATATACAAGAACAGCGCAGGATCTGAAATACATTTCATACATTTTGAAAATATGTGTATTATTTTATCCTATTGTTTGCTGCATGTTATGTTCATGCATATATATAATTAGTTTACATTTCATTTATATAATCAATTTGTATTTCGTAAGTTCATGAATATAGTCTTTATTTTCACCCTTTATTTTTTTTTTGGCGGTTCTTATTATTTTCAATAAATCTGCAATTGTTTCTCCCTCTCCTATGCCTTGTTTATCCGCCTTTTTTTTTTGTTTGTTCCCTCTGTTCGGGTCCTTGCTTGTCTCCATCTTTGTTGTTTGTTGTTCCCTCTTCTGGATCTTATTTGTCAGTTTTTTCTTGTGTATTTCTTCCGAGCATTCATTTTTTCTTTTAAATCTTTCTCCTTCTTCCTACAATCTGTGAGTGCTAAACATTAGTTAGATCATGAAGCCCGCTCTGAAACCTGCTCACCTGTACCGAACCTGGGAGTGTCAAGGTAATGAAACCAGACC